AAAACAAGTAGTTTTTACGCAAAAAACAAAACCCGACTTCAATTCTCATAAAAATTTAAGATTATCGTTATATTCCTCAAGATCCGATGATCGGATTTAAACCAAATTAATATGGGACTACCTGTGAGGTGGTTATTAATTTTTTTTTTATAAAAAAAATATAGAGCATTGTTATGCAAACCCACGTAAATCCAAGTTTCTAACTTTGTACAATATATAAGGGGTATTCTTTCTGAACGTTAACTCTCCCGCCCTCGTCAGCCATCAATCTTCCTATTCAATAATTTTGTTTCACCGAATGACCCTGACGGTGCAAGGAACCCCACATATATGTTATCTGAACGTAGAATTGGCCCTCGCGTTATTTTGCCACTCGGCATTGGAAAGCTTGTTTTTCATGAATTTTCCATATCTAAAACAAATGTAAGTTAAAAGAAAAATGGACAGGGTGGGTGGGGATAACGTTCAGAAAGAATGCCCCATAAAAAAATCAACAAGCTTTCGTAAAAATTTCTAGCTTTTTTAATTAGATTTCCTAGAATGATTCCTATTGATTAAATTCTAATAGAATATATGAATAACTCAGTGAGAGGGGAGACCAGTATGTTTGCATGTATGTATATAAAAAAATATTTATTGGACCAAAAAGTAGTGGGTAGGCACTGTGGCCAATGGTAATCAACTATTACCACCTCTGCATGGTTGTAAGCCATGCAGAGTCCGCAGAAGACTCCGGAAGCAGTGTCCGGAGGATGCATCAGACTAGGCCGAGCATACTTTGAACTGCCATCAAATTATAACTTAAGAAAGTTTTATTACATGGCAGTTGAGAAGTGCATGTACATAAATTTCATTAATTTAATGAAGGAAATTTTTGCACATGCAGCAGTACATAACATGCATTTAGGCGCCTGGTGTTAGCAGTCGCGTCTAAACAAACTACAATTTTCAAATTACTAAAAATCACGGTTTTTGGATTTTTTTTTGTCACGTTTGCTTCCATCTTTTTATAAAAAAAAATCTAAATTAAATAAATAATATTATGTTAAAATTTGTCAAAATGTGGTAAGGCTATAATTTTTTCGACCACTGTATATCTAGATGTATATGGGACGTTCCATGTCAACCGGCACAGAGCTAAATTTAAGTGCTGAAAATATTTGTACACTTTTGCTCTTTTAAAATCAGCGAGCGATTTTTGAAATTCGATAGTGGTATTCACCAAAGTGAGCAAGTGGCAAGTGAGTGTTGTCAACAGTCGTTGGTTGAGCCCACCTGTTCTCATGCCAGACTGCCAGGTCACTTGCCCAATTTGATGAATACCCCTAATGAAACGACAAATAACAAAATTGACAATCCCAAATAAATAAAATGAAATGATACTTTTTTAAGCAGGAATACAATCTGGTGTCGGATTTTAAAAAGTCGAATTGTCCTGCTTGTGTAAACATTTCTGGGTTTCCATGATTGCTGAACCTAAATCTGGTGTCAGATTTTAAAAATCCTTGATTGGGCAATCCATTCTGGATCTACCATTTATAACGGATAGGGTATAATCGAACGTGCGTACATTTATCCGATTCGATCAATGTTATGTAAATTCCAGCTATGTAAATTCCAGCCTTATTACTTTAAGCAGCTACGTTGAACACAGCAAATTATAAAAATATTATGATTTTATTTTTGTTTGCGTGGTTATGCGTAACGGTTTTAAAATTTCTTCATGAGCGCATCTCTACGACTTACTTTTTAGCACATATGTGCATACGTTACATAATAATAATAAAAGACAATGAATTTAGTTATAAAAAGTTGAAAGCACTTTGATCTGTTATTCTTGTTTCAGTATTAGAATTCTCACCCAAAACGGTATACTACTGCAAAGTTCGTCGATCAGACTTTATGGCATTACATGAGTATGTTATACTAAACATTTTGAGCTATAAAATAGTTTTAGACACTTTTGGCTGTTCAGTACTCAAAATTCAATTATATTGTTTACACCTTTTGGATTCCAATGTGCCTGTCACGAATCAGTCTCCCTAACTACATCGTGTGGCAGATGCTCAAAATTTTGTGACAACAACTGACTCACAATGCAATCGGAGCATTGATTTAAGTATATATAACAAGTGTTGCATCGCCAATGTAAACGCGAAACGGCAGCTACACGGCATGTCTCACACAAACGAGCTAAAGGATCTGGATTATAACCTTCGGGCGTATTCATTTTCTCTTCTTTTATCAAGTTCAAGATTTTCATCATGCGTTCACGATCTTCAGCGCTAAGTGACTCAATGGCACTGGCTCCCTCTTCCGGTGGAGTTTCCGTAGAGGTATTGCGTTTATCTGTTGGCGCTGGTGAACTTTCCGAGCGCAAGTCACCAAATGAGTAGTCATCTTCCGG